CCAGCTGAAGGCCTAGGACTGGGGTGATGGTGTGTGTGCCCACAGAGAGGGCTCTGAGTGCCGCCTCTGGCACCCGTGCCATAGGTTCGCCACCACTGCTATAGACATAAAAAGGAGAAGTATAGAGAAGTGAAGTTCCGGTACAATAGATAAATGTGCTCTGAAAACAACTATAGCCACTGGAAACAATGTTGTAATTCAACAGAAACCAATTTTCCTAGTCCAGAAAATACAAGGATAAGACATGCTCACTCTTACGTGGTTGGCATTCTGCACATGCAGAGACATCAAGTGAAATCTTGATACAAACTCAGGATTGAATTTAATGCATGTGAAAGTACTGAAAAAAAAAATCCTGAAGAGGGGGAGGAATAAGAGCTTCCTGAAGAAGCATTACATTGTATTCCCCTATTGTTGTTGTCCTCCTCCTCCTTTTGACCTTCAATTAACGGAAAGGAAATTTTTATAGGGCTTAGAGGAGGGGGGGCTTTGAGCCTAAGTATGAATAGACAGAGTAAAGGGAAAGAGCAAACAGGCAAAATTCACACACTCCACTTTCTCTTCATGCTTCATAACACTTTCCCAACTTTTCACGCACAAAGAAATCTGCACGGAGAAATACCAACAGAGATGGTGCCCTAACACTGCCAAGCACTGTGATCTGTAACACCTCCCCCTCTCCTGTGGAGAAGGAGCTATAATCAGCTCAGGTGAGGACCAAGTCAGGTATTTCAGCAGGTGCTCCTCACTTTCAAGTTTTACCTTTGGGATTACCTGTTGACTTTTTTTTTTAAAGCAAACAGATGCTGAGTCAATTTAATGGCCAATTCTGGCCCTAGGTTCTGCCTTTTCCAATAAGCAACCGAGTCAGAAGATAATTTAAAAACAATTTAATAATAATAATCATCTTTGTTGCTCTTCTCTGTACTCTTTCTAGAGTCTCAACCTCTTTTTTACATCGTGGTGACCAAAACTGAATGCAGTATTCCAAGTGTGGCCTTACCAAGGCATTGTAAAGTGGTATTAATACTTCACATGATCTTGATTCTATCCCTGTGTTACTGCAGTGTTGGCTTTTTTGGCAGCTGCAGCACACGGCTGGCTCATATTTAGGTGATTGTCCACTAGGACTCCGAGTTCCCTCTCATAGTTGCTACTATTGAGCAAGGTATACTATACCAGTACATTTGGTTTTTCTTGCCTAAATGTAGAACTTTACTTTTTTCAGCGTTGAATTTCATTTTGTTAGATAGCGCCCAGTGTTCAAGTCTGTCCAGATCCTCCTGTGTCCTAAGCCTGTCTTCTGGAATTTTGGCTATTCCTGCCAGCTTGGTGTCGTCTGCAAATTTGATGAGTTGTCCATCTATCCCCTCGTCCAAATCATTGATGAAGATGTTGAAGAGCACTGGGCCTAGAAGAGAGCCCTGGGGCACCCCACTACACACTTCCTTCCATGTAGATGCAGTTCCATTGAGGACCACACGCTGAGTACGCCCGGTCAGCCAGCTACAAATCCATCTGGTAGTGATGCTGTCTAACCCACATTTTTCTATCTTATCTAGTAGGTTGTGGTCTACTTTATCAAATGCCTTACTGAATTTATTAGAGTAGTTTGAAAAAGTGGGATATAGGGGGAACCTCAAGACCCAACTTGCTTTCCTTTTTACAGTTAAGACATAAAACAAATGCAAGAGAAAAGGTCAGCTAAATTATCTTCCGAGGGACAATAAATTGGGTCTATTACATTTTCTTTCACTGTTTCTGACAATATTTTATGTCAACGTATTTGCTTGTTTTTTTCTGTCACCTGTTGCCATCTGTATACATGTTGTTATCTTCAAATAGTGGTATAGTTCCTTTCACTTCAATATCCAAATCCTTTTTTTTTTATTGAAAGCTTTTAAATTTTACAAAACAAATCCCTTCCCCAACCCCCCCCCCACCCTCCCATACCCTCCCCCACCTCCCCAAACCTCCCAAACCCTCCCCCAACCTTCCCAGAGCTGAGTACAGGCTTAATTAAAATTTTTCAGAAAAAGAAAAGAAAAACTTAAAACACATATAAATCCTAAACAAATCTAAATACATTAAATAGGTTATCTTCTCTAAAAAATAATAATTGCAATCATTAAACACGTTATAATATACTCTAAACATTTTCTAATATCATACTTATATTATTATCCATCATTCTTTATAAACTCCCTCCAAAACATAAATTTAAACATTACTTTCTTTAAATATCTATACCTACAATATAAAATCTAATCTCTCCCTCTTTCTTTATCCTAAAACACAAAAATAAACATATAAACATTCATTATACCATTAAGACTAAATACTCTTTTGAATACTTAAACTAAGTACTTAAACTTCTTATCTAAAATTTTCATTCAATCTCCATAATCTTCTCTCCTATCAAAAAAAAAACTTAAGACATATAAATCCTAAACAAATCTAAGTACATTTAATTAAACAAGTTATATAATAATAAATAAAAAACCCAATCATTAAACACATTATAATATACTCTGAACCTTTTCATATCATACTTATATTATTATCCATCATTCTTTATAAACTCCCTCCAAAACACAAATTTAAACATAACTTAAAACATTAAAATTCCCTTATACATATTTAAATCTTTACCAATAACAAATTCCATCCACAATAAACACATTCCTTATCAGTCTCTCTTGTCCATAAACCTCAAAAGAAGCGCTTTAAAATCTACCCTTAAAGGTAACTCCAAAAAGTTTGTAAATCTTGCTTCTCCCGCAGACTCGGGAACCAATACTTGTGAGGCTTCCTTAAACTCCTTCTTCTGTTGCTCTTTTTCTTTATATGTTGCACGAGTTGTCCTCTGCTTCTTCATCTCGACTTGTTGAGGCCCCTCGAACTGAGATTTCCCATTTTTCATTAATATAGGCTCTTCAGACTGCAATTCTACCCTTAAAGGTTGCTCCAAAAAATTTATAAATCCTAATTCTCCCGCAGATTCAGAAACCAATACTTGTGAGGCTTCCTTGACCTTCTTCTGTTGCTCCTTTTCTTTACAGTTATATGTTGCACCGGTTATCCTCTGCTCCTCCATCTCAACTTGTTGAGGCCCCTCAAACTGAGATTTCCCAATTTTCATAAGTATAGGCTCTTCAAACTGCAATTCTACCTTCTTTTCTTCCAAAGCTTTAAACTTAATAGATGGCGATGAACATACCCCCAGGACCAAAGTATAAAAGTCTTTTGCTTTAGAAACAGTATTAAGTCTATAACATATCCCCAGGTAACTCACCATTCCAGTCGGAACATCCCATCTGAACAAGATTCGTCTCTTTTTAAGTTCATCTGCTAAAAAAGCAAACTCCTTTCTTCTTCTTAAAATTTTAGATGGGATCTCCTTTAGAATTATAACATCTTGTGAAGCAATTTGAAACCTCTTCTTATAAAAAGCTTGTATAATTTCGTTGCGCAGGGATCTTTTCCCAAAGTAAATTACCACATCTCTTGGCAAATTCTTTTGCTCTGCCACCACAGAGTTAACTCTAAATGTTTTTTCAATTTCACTAAGTATTTCCTCTTTTTCTTTATTCAAAATCACAGCAAAGTCCTTTGCAACCATCTCTCTCAGATCTCCTTGCACAGACTCTCTCAAGCCTCTGATTCTTAAAGCATATTCCATTTGTCTATATTGAAGCATAAGAATCTCATCTTGAAAATTTTCCATCTCTTTTTCCATGCTTTCAAATTTTCCCTCCATCAATTCCACTTTTCCCACTACCTCTTCTACGCGAGAGTTCAGCTTTTCAAGAACAGAGGCAACTCCTTTTAGAGCCAAAACTATCTCTTGCCTCAAAATCTTATTATTTTCCTCTAAAATCTCTTTCATTTCTTCCCTAATTTGAGATATAACATTTCCCATCATATCTTGCAAATCCTTCACCATTATTGGCTGTACCAAGAAAGAGGGTGAAGCTATTGATTTAGGTTGTTACGCTGATGATAACACCGAAGAAGAAACCACCTTAGGAACTGTAGGAATTACTGGACGCTTTGGAGCCATCTTAAAAAAATCTTTACTCCTTCTTAAAAATTACAAAAATTAAGCAAAAAAAAAGAGATTAACTCCAAAAAAAATCAAAAAATCCTTCAAAAGGAGATAAATAATAAAAAGAAAGGAGTTAAAAAAAGGAAAAGGGAAAAAGAAAAAAAAATGATTAAATAGAAAAAATCCATTCCATTTTTTAAAAGTACAAAAAACAAAACAAAGAAGTTAAACAAAAATAATAATGCTTCTAAAATCCAAACCCAACATCAAAAAATCATTATAAATAATCAGGTCCACATTCCGTTCCAGTCATTAAAAAAAAAAAAAAAGGAAAGGGAAAAAAAAACACCAAAAAGCCTGCCGATCGCCATTCTACCTTCCCAAGGGGAAAAAAAAAAAAAAAAAAACACCGAAAAGCCTGCCGATCGCCATTTTACTTTCCCTTTCAACAAAGGAAAAAAAAAGAGGGAATATAAAAGTAAAAGTAAATCTTTAAACTTAAAATCCAAATAAAATCAAAGAAAGTAAAAGCTAAATCCTCTACTCAGCTCTGTCCGCTTCTAAAAAAACCTCACCAGATCACTTTAATCGTGGAGGTGGTTGCAGCGGCTTGTTTTGTCCCTAGGGACAAAAGCAGCTGGGAAGCGGAGACAGTCTGAACTCCGTGGGAGCACTCTTTTCACCCCCCCCCAAAAAGCCTTGGGGGTGCATAAGAGGCTCTACCACTATTCAGACAACCCTCTTCCCCCCCCCTTTGCCCGGGAGGGGGATTTTGAACCGCTGAACAGCTGATGTCCGCTGTTCATAGCGATTCACACTTACCCAGGAGGACGGCTACAAAGTAGCCGCCATCGCACGCGCAGATCCACTGGAAGCCCAATATCCAAATCCTTTTAACAATTGTATGTTTTTTTCTTTTGACTTAGAATATACCCTCCTTGTAGTTTCTTCATTTCTGCTCGTACATAGTTCTTTATTTCTCCTAGATTCTTTACATTTCTTTTGTTCTGCCACAAGTTCTTTTGTTCTGTTACAAGTAAACCCAATGCTCCTGGCAATTTCAAGGCCCACAAAAAATGCCATTTATCCAAGTGAGGTTTGTCCTCTAGATATAGTTTGCAACCAGAGATGTACAAAAAATTTACCAAAAAGATGAAAAGAGAAAATTTCAGTTGAAAAATAAATTAGTTTGTACTTAGTGTAAAAGGTTATAGAAAAGTATTAGTCTATAATAAGTAGTGATAATTGCAGATAGAAAAATCTTATTGCAATTGAGTTGTTTTAAGATCCTCATAATTAGTTCACAAATCTTCATAAATTTACTTGCTTTGTGGTGTAATATTCAGGTGTTGTTGTTCATCTCAAGTTGTATTTACCTATTTTTAAGAGCTGCTAAGGACCAGATAATTTTTGCTAGGTCCTGATATGTAAAACCGTACAACTCAGAGAGGGTGTACTTTCCTTTTCACATGACTGTATAAAAATGAGGCCTATGCTGTTGTTTTGAATGGTCGTTAAGTCCTTTCAGGATCTCTTAGGATCATTTTTTTTGCAGATGAAGCGGTGTTCGGTGGTGCATGTCCCTGCGTAGCCTTCGCCACTATCATCCAAATATGCACAGTCTCCTCCTCCTTCTCCATCATGCCCCATGATTTCCGACCTGCAACAGAAGCAGAAGTTAGGCAGTGGGGAGTATTTCCCACCTAGCAGTACCAAAGGGGTCCTGAGCTTACAGTTCAACTAGCTGAGCCTTGCCTTCTCACAGATGATTCTGCAGATTACTCCCCAATTCATCTATTGGGAAGGGTTGACTGTTCAGGAGCTCAGCGTTCTGGCCTCAATTCCAAGCACATTATTGCACAGGTAGTCTTGACTTAGAACAACCACAATTAGGGCTGGAATTGCCATTGCTTAAGCAAAGCAGTTGTTAACTGGGTTGTGTCCAGTTTTATAACTTTTTTTTTTTTTGGGCCACAGCTCTTAAGCGAGTCCCTGCAGTGGTTGAGTGAATCAAATGATTTTAAGAGGATCCAGCTTTCCTTGTTGACTTTGCTTCTTGGGAAGATCGCAAGTGGAAGCCCCACAACCCCAGGATGTTGCAACCGTTGACACTGATTTGCCAGCAGGCCTGGGTATGGGTGATATGGAGCGCATCAACTGGTTGATTTGATTGTTATCATGGGGGGGATTTTATTGGGTTTAGTATTGTTGTTTCGTTTCGTAAGCTACCCAGAGTCGCCTTGAGCAAGTTGGGTAGCCATATAGATTTTCCCTAACAAATAAATATGGGCTACTTGCCAAATTTTGATCATGTAATCATGGGGATGCTTATGATGATTGTCATTGTGTGGATCAATCACAAGTCGTTTTTTTTTTTCAGTGCCGTTGTAACTTTAAATGTTTGCTAAATGAATAGCTGTAAATCGAGGACTACCCATTATGAATTTTAAGTTACATTAGTAGGACCAAATCTTTTTAGAGGGCAACTCCTGAATGCTGGCAGCCAGCAGGCTCTTTCTAAGATCAGTCCTGAGCTGCATGGAGCCTCAGCGGGGGCATTTAACTTTTAGTTCCTGCCAACTGAAGGGTAAAGAGGAAGACTTACGTTGCATTGTCTCCATCTGGCCACTTCCAGGATTGATTTCGTTCTCTCTTGAGGCCGATCCAAAAGACGTGGTCTCTTGTGAATTTCCTCACAAAATCCTTAAAAAAAACAAAAACAAAAATCGTGCATGTTAGAACCTTGCAATGCTAGATTCCCAGCTGAATTTCTGAACTTACACATAGGCTGAAGAGTCTAAAATTATCTTTTGAACAGTAATTAACCCTAATAAAACATACCGAGTAGTTCTCTGGTATGCGGCAAAATGGTAGAAGATAGTTAACTTTTTTAAAGTACATTTTAAACCTTTTGTAGGTTTTCTACAAACCTAGAATGGTTTTGCCATGATTTTTCTAGAATGGATCTTGGCAATGTCTACAGTTTTACTGTTGGCTTCCTGATTCTATCTCTGGTGGCGCAGTGATTAGAATACAGTACTGCAGGCTACTTCTGCGGACTGTCGGCTGCCAGCAGTTTGGCAGTTCGAGTCTCACCATGCTCAAGGTTGTCTCAGCCTTCCATCCTTCCCAGGTTGGTAAAATGAGGACCCAGATTGTTGGGGGGCAATAGGCTGACTCTGTAAACCGCTTAGAGAGGGCTGTAAAGCACTGGGAAGCGGTATATAAGTCTAAGTGCTATTGCTATTTGGGGATAGTAGCAGATGTTTCTAAGCAGGAAAAAAATGAAAGAAGCAGATGACAGTGACTTGTTTCAATGATATACTTCGATTTTTAATTTTCTGCTTTGTAAAATTGGAAGCTTTTAGAACCTGGAGAAGATTAAAAGGATTTTGATGCTTTTACTCAGAAAGGCATCTAAGGAGATTTTTTTTTTTGTAATATTAGGAGAAAATCTTTTAACTTTTTCATGTTGTAGAAGAGCATGCACCATCAATGAAACAACAATATCTCTACGGTGGCCAGTTACTCACCATTTCCTCCTTTGTAATTTTGGCCAAGGAAGCATTATGCAAAATACAGAAGTTCCAGCTTTCATTCCAGTTTTTTTCCTCTTCTGAAAATTTATAGCAGTGCCCATGATGTCCAATCCAGTCAAGTGGGCATTTAATGTCATCATGTTGGCAATTTAATGGCATGTGTCTTTCTAGAACAGAGAGATAGAAAGAATAGACACTAACTTATCCAGTCCCGTTCTTATGGGCAAGATGGGACCCTCTCACTGAATCGGAACCTGTTAGTAAGTTCTGATAAAACCCAATCTAGATGAAAAGCCCCACATTTTAGCAGTTGTAGTGACCTCCATCTTGCAGTCCTCAAATTAATAGAGAGTGTGGGCCTGAGCAGTGATTTTCGTGCTGGATTTGGATCAAAGATACCAGATGCAAACCCATTGATTCAGCCATGAATCTCTTTGTGGGCTTTTCCACTGATTTAGTCAACCTATTGCGCATTTGGTCCATCTATTTTGCATTTACTGCTTCTGGCAGGATATCACTAAATACAGAAATGTATGTTTATTTATTTTACCTTTCAAACATCAAGACTTGTTCCAAACATTGGATCTGAAGTTTCCTGTATTAGATGAAGTAGTTTACAGTACCTAAAACTGAGACAAGGCCAACTCTATGTTTCGATCGAACTGCATTCAGCTTCAGGAAGTCATGTGAGAAGTAGCATTTCAAGGCAAAAGTGTTAGGGTCAGGATTCCTTACCCAGAAAAAAGGAGACAACAGCAACGATGAAGATCAAAATGACAAATCCAATTATTATTGCTTTTTTGTGCTTATTCCAAACTGGCAATAATCTCCGTTCGATACCTCCTGCACCAAAAAAAAAAAAAAAAAAAAAACCAAGATCCATCAGCACTCATCTGCTACACCAAAGGAAGGTAGAGAGAAATCTCCTTGAGCTGAAAATCCTAAATAAAATATTATACAGATTTTCAAATTGATAGGTTTTCTTGCTTTTTATTTTTTAATTTCCAAACCCAATAATTCTCCTCTTGAGTCAACTAAAATGTCAGTAGTAGTTTGATGAAAGGAAACGGAGCTATAATATTTTTATTGAGGAAATAAAACTGCTTAGGAGTTTTTACCTCTATCCCTCCCTCCCTCCCTCCCTTTTTTTCAGTGTCCTTGATGGATCTGGAGGCCTTCTTGTAAATAAAGATGATGCTCCAGAAAATATTTGCGCTTCATCTGGTTCAGTTAAACAGAAGATTGAGACATGAAACAAAATCGGGCCTGGTGAAGCAGGACTGGGCCTGCTGCACATCTTGTCAGCCAAAGAGTGTCAACTGGCAGGAACTAGAACACAGGCCTTCTCTGCTGTAGCCCCTGCTTTGTGGGCTATTCTCCCTCGGAGATTAGAATGGCCCCAATCCTGTTGGCCTTTCACAAGGCATTAAAAACTTGGCTAGGTACCCAGGCCTGGAGCTTGGAATGGATTATGGGCCCCATTTCCTGGCTTTACCATTAGTTGATTAATTATCTTGGCTGCTGTTTCTATTTCTTTTCTGGATATTTGTACTGTTTTATTTTTATTTTAATGGGTCTATAATTGTAGAATTAAGATTCTAATTTTAGAATATAATTATCTTCTAAATATAATTTTAGAATATAATTATAGAATTATATTTTAAAATTATATTCTAAATTATATTCAGACTATAATTATATTCTAAAATTATAGAATATTCAATTATATTAGAATATATAATTATATTGTAAAACTGTAAATTATCTAATAATTATTATACTCTAAAACACGTATATTCGCCTTCATTCCAAATTTAGGATTATATGCCACCCAGAGTCACTTGATTTGAGTAGGGCAGCTAGAGAAATTGAATAAATAAAATTGATGATGCAGCAGGAAAACCACATAAATGTCTACACCCAGGGTGGGACAGAACCGGCCTGACATTGAACTGTTTGAGATAAACTATATAGACCCAGGAATAAATCCATTTTCCTCTTCTCCTTTTTGGAGCCTCTTGGACAAGGAATATGTCCAGACAGATCCATAGTGAAATCTGTACTTTTACATATTTGGAGCAGACTTTCCACTCTCTCCTGTACATTTGATATAAATAACCTCTTAAAGCTTACTAGGATGACAGCCTAGCTCTCTAGGACATTTGCTTCTTTATTTCTGTTCCACGAAACATTAAAATTCAGCAGGAGTTTTTCAAAGTCCAATTGGGGACACGGTACATGTTTTATATTGCTCCGTATGCTCCTGTGGCCATGTCTTGGACATTTCAATCCCTTCATTTGGGTGACTAGCTTCAAGATCTCGATATTGTTATTATTACCTGCTTGTTCCTCCTGTCCAGCGGCATATCCATTGATAAGAGAGCCCTGAAGCTTTTTCTCCTCATCCATATTCGACATTCCTGGATCTGTATGATCTGAAATTGGAAACGGGGCTGTCACAAGAAGGAAGGCCAAGATGCATACAGAAGCTGGCAAATTACAGCTAATTTCATGAATCACTTTTAATACGTAGATACAGCCTCTTAAATAGTGTGTAGTAGAAAGTAATTTGTCATGCAAAGTTTTTTATTGTCATCAATAAATTGGGCAACATTTTAGTAGAGAAGCAAAAAAAAAAAAAATCCAACATTCTGTTATTTATTAGTCAATAGTAGCAACTGTGAGAGGGATCTTGGAATCCTAGTGGACAATCACTTAAATATGAGCCAGCAGTGTGCTGCAGCTGCCAAAAATCCAAAACAGTGCTAGGTTGCATTAACAGAGGGATAGAATCAATACGACTTTACAATGGCTTGGTAAGGCCACATTTGGAATACTGCATCCAGTTTTGGTTACCACGATGTAAACAAGATGTTGAGACTCTAGAAAGAGTACAGAAAAGAGCAACAAAGATGACTAGAGGTCTGGAGGCTAAAACATACAAGGAATGGTTGCTGGAATTGGGTATGTCTAGTTTAATGAAGAGAAGGACGAAGGGTGACATGATAGCCGTGTTCCAATATCTCAGGGGCTGCCACAAAGAAGAGGGAGTCAAGCGATTCCCCAAAGCACCTGAAGGCAGGACAAGAAGCAACGGATGGAAACTAAACAAAGAGAGAAGCAACCTAGAACTAAGGAAAAACTTCCTGACATTTAGAACAATTAACCAGTGGAACAACCTGCCTCCAGAAGCGATGAATGCTCCAACACTGGAAGTTTCTAAGAAGAAACTGGACAGGGTTTCCTGCCTGAACAGTTGGCTGGACTAGATGACCTCCAAGGTCCCTTCCCATTATTATTAAATTGCTTTTAAATTATCTTCTGACTCGGTTGCTTTTTGGAAAAGGCAGAACCTAGGGCCAGAATTGGTCATCAAATTGACTCAGCATCTGTTTGCTTTTTTTTTTTTAAAGTCAACAGGTAATCCCAAAGGTAAAACTTGAAAGTGAGGAGCACCTGCTGAAATACCTGACTTGGTCCTCACCTGAGCTGATTATAGCTCCTTCTCCAAAGGAGAGGGGGAGGTGTTACAGATCACAGTGCTTGGCAATGTTAGGGCACCATCTCTGTTTGTTGGTATTTCTCTGTGCAGATTTCTTTGTGCGTGAAAAGTTGGGAAAGTGTTTTGAAGAATGAAGAGAAAGTGGAGTGTCTGTGAATTTTGCCTGTTTACTCTTGCCCTTTACTCTTTTCCTGTCTATTCTTACTTAGGCTCAAAGCCCCCCCTCCTCTAGGCCACAGGTCGGCAACCTGCGTCTCTGCAGGAAGCAGGAAGGGTAGGAGAGAGCTAGCTAGCTCAGCTATGCTGACTCAGGAATTCTGGGAGTTGAAGTCCATGAGTCATAAAAGAGCCAGGGTTGCCTACCCCTGAGCTTGTTGGAGAACAGCTTGAAGCCAGCTTGCCAGGTGAGCAGCAGATCGGAGAGAGGGAGAGAGAGAAATAGAGAGAGAGAGGAAAGAGAGAGAGAGAAAGAAAGAGAGTGGGGGAAGAGGACTGGCAGACCAAAGGCAGAAAGAAAAAGAGAGAGAGAGAGACAGAGAGTGAGAGACCCTTTTGACATCTAAAATGAAGATAACACTGCATATATCCTTTTTTACCTTCATAATACATACATACATACATACATACATACATACATACATACACACACACACACACCTATAATAAAGGCAAAAAAGGATATATGCAGTGTGTTATCTTCATTTTAGATATCAAAAGGGTTTTGCAGCTCCCAGTGTTTTGTTTTTGGTGGGAAACGGGTCCAAGTGGCTCTTTGAGTGTTTTGGGTTGCCTACCCCTGCTCTAGGCCCTATAAAATTTCCTTTCCGTTAATTGAAGGTCAAAAGGAGGAGGAGGACAACAACAATAGGGGAATACAATGTAATGCTTCTTCAGGAAGCTCTTATTCCTCCCCCCCTTTTCAGGATTTTTTTTCAGCGGCCCTTTACAATGACGTATGCTAGACGCTCCTCCCACCTCAAATGAAAGCACCATGGCCTAGTTCCTAGGCGAGGCTGGAGGCTTGGTGCTGGCTTCAAGGTACCCACACACCCACATACACAAAAAAGCCCTGAATACAACCCTCCCAAGGCTGCGCAGAGAATCCTCAATTGTAAAAACAAGCATTTCAGCTGCCTTTAGCGTTTATGTTCCTTCTCCTGGATAAAGGGCCAGGGCGGGTCTGGTTTTATTCATGGGAAGTTTTATTCATGGGTTGAAACCACCAAACCCACGTTCTGAAACGAGACAGGCTCCAATGAAAGTAACCTATGGCTTTAAGCAGAGCAAATTGCTCCCCACGGAGAGGGAGACAGAGCACCCGGGGTTTTTTGTTTTTTTTTTACTATGTCCATTTACAGGGATTTAGATAGAAAAAATGACCACTATTCATACCACCCAGTAGAAAGCTGCTTCTTTCCTTCTGGTTCTTTTCCAAGTCATAATTTCAGCAGAAAAAACTATAGTGGAAACCCAGGCAGGAGATGATAGTCGTTGTAATTTACACACCAATGCCTTTTACTCATTTATTTTTATTCAATTCAGTGACTCTCCCACTATCCCCTATATCCACAATTTGTTTTAATCTCCTAAAAAACTTTCCTTAAATCTTTAGAAAAAAAGTAGCAGAACATATAATTCTATTATTAATATTAACAAAGTACGAACTAAGAATGAAGAATGTGCTTTGCTGGACGAGTGCTCTGCATGAGTGAGCAACATCCAGCAAGGACCGCAATCAATTGGATATCACCAGATTGTTGGGAGAAAAAGAGCAGGGCCAAAGATTCGTCACCTCAAGACTGGATTACTGTAATGCGCTCTACATGGGGCTACCCTTGAAGAGCGTTCGGAGGCTGCAGTTGGTTCAGAATGCAGCCGCAAGAGCGATTGTGGGCGCGCCAAGGTACGCCCACGTGTCATCTATCCTCCGCGAGCTGCACTGGTTTCCTGTGGGTCTCCGGACGCAATTCAAGGTGTTGGTTATCACCTTTAAAGCCCTTCATGGCATAGGGCCAGGTTACTTACAGGACCGCATACTGCCGCACAGTTTCCAGAGACCGGTGAGGTCCCATAGATTGGGCCTCCTTCAGGTCCCGTCGGCCAGACAATGTCGGCTGGCGGGCCCTCGGGGAAGGGCCTTTTCTGTGGTGGCTCCGACCTGGTGGAGTCAACTTCCCCCCCCCCCCCGAGGTTCGAACAACTCCCACCCTGCCGGCCTTTAAGAAAGCCGTTAAACACACACACACACACACACACACTGCTTACTAGAAAGTGGGTGCAGAGTCTTTTCCCAAGTAATAATTCCACTTCTCGGAAAGTGCACACACACACACACACACACACACTGCTTACTAGAAAGTGGGTGCAGTCTTTTCCCAAGTAATAATTCCACTTCTCGGAACGTACACACACACACACACACACACACACACACACACACACACACACACACACACACACACACAGAGAGAGAGAGACACAGACAGCCCTGAATACAGCCCTCCCAAGGCTGCGCAGAGAATCCTCAACCGCAAAAAGCAGCATTTCAGCAGCCTTTAGCGTTTATGTTCCTTCTGCCGGATAAGGGCCAGGGCGGGTCCGTCTCTAAAGAAATTTTATTCGTGGGTTGAAACCACCACGTTATGAAAGAAGACGGGCTTCAATGGAAGTAACCTATGGTTTTAAGCAGAGCAAATTGCTTCCCACGGAGAATCCGTTGTTTTTTTTTACTATGTCCATTTACAAGGATTTAGATAGAAAAAAAACCTACTACATTCATACCAACCAGTAGAAAGCTGCTTTCTTTCCTTCTGGTACCCTTGAAAGTCTCTATTTTTCCCTACTTCTCCCCCCAGGCCTGTTTTCTATTCTAGCATCACTCCACTCTCTTCTCTGCCAAGTCCTGCCCTTCCCTTTTTCTCTAAGAGGGAGGGGGGAGGGTGAATATGGGATGCCTGGGGATGGTGGAAGAGCCCAGTACAGGCACGTCTCCCTGCCCCCAAGGCCTCCCCCACTCACTGAGTTGCCCCCATGCTTTCTTTCCGCCCCTTGGGGTCCCGACCACAGCGGCTTGGGCCGTCTCCATATCCACTCCTTGCACCCACCTAGCGCCGCCGCTGATTATTCTTTACCTTTCCAAGGTCTCCAGAGCTCAGGATATCCGAAAAGGGAAGGAGGAGAGGCCGCTCCATTGTGCGGCCGTCTTTTTCTGAGATGCTGGCGAAGCTCTTTCCCTTTTCTGGCTAGATGCTAGCCCTCCCTTCTCCCAGCAAAAGCAAGCGGCTCTGCTGCCTCTTAAAATACAGCACCCCTTTTCTCCCGCTCCTCGGCGGGGCTGGAGCTCTGGATCTGACTTCATGGCGGAGAAAAGGAACAAAAGCTGGCCTCGTTTTCCCATCGTTCAGTGTCAGTTGCGTTTAGCCACTTTCCCCGCCCCTTTTTGGCTGCTTTTACTACCTCCTCCCCTCACTGCCTCCTTCTTGGCAAAGGGCCAGCGCGCCTGGCTGAGGAATTCTGGGAGTTGGAAGTCCACAAGTCATAAGAGGGCCAAGTTTGAAGACCCCTGCTTTAAAATGTTTTGGTTTAACTTTTGTGGCTTACAGCCACCAACCACATACTCCTAAAGGAGATCTGATTCGGTGGCCAAATCTGTGGTATTATTAAGCAGAGCAATTGCTTCCCAGAGAGAGAGAGAGAGAGAGAGAGAGAGAAGACTACAAACACTTTTTTCTTTCTCTTTTTATGTACAAGTATATAGGAATTTAGAGAGAAAACAATCACCATTTACACCAGTGTGTTCAAACTTCCCACTAGAAATCTTCTTTCTCCTGTCTCTTCAAAGTCTCCAACTACCTCTCCGCAGAGTTATTTTCCAGCACCCCTCCACTCTCTCTATTGCTATCTATCAACTCTTTCCTTTCTCCTCTTCCCTTCCTCTCTGCTTTTCACTGAGAGAGGTAGGCAAGAAGGAAATAGGCTGAATAAATAGCCTGGGTTTAAAGCCTATTTTTAGATCTGGACTGCCTTCCCTTTGACACTGTGGGATGTACATCCCTCTGGTTTTGTGACTCAGCCCTTTTAGGAATCCAAGGTCCATCTGCAGGCAGCTTTTGCATTAAGCACTTGCTTCAGTCTTGGCATGACAAAATCAGAGACATGCATCTCAAAGGATAGCCCCACCCTGATTTCTTTTCTTCAGTCACCAGCTTTCTGCTCACTCATTCCAAAAGTGAGGTCTTGGTGCTTTCTGAGCTTGGTTGTTTTCTTGCAGACATTTCATTATCTAGCTGTGGTACCTAGAGGCTCTGGGGGCAGGACGGGGACAACAGGTTTCAGCTGAACCATGGTTTTGACCAAGTGGCTTTGGGTACATGGAGCCTCAGGATCTGGGAGTTTAACATCTTTAGGTCTGCATGGGCTTGCACTTCCCGAGGCAGACCTCATGAAACTCCTGGAGTCCTTCTAGGTTCATGACTCTGGTTCAAAGAGCAGGTGGCAGTTAGGAGAGCCTTTTCACAAGTTCGGATTGTGCATCAGTTGTGCCCTTTCTTAGATCTGAAATCCTGTGTTCAGTCACTCATGCCCTGGTCATCTCACGCTTAGATTATTGCAGTGTGCTCGACTGTGAGGCTACCTTTGAGGAGCATTCGGAAGTTACAGCTGGCACAAAATGCAACTGCATGAACAATCTTAGGGGGCCCTAAGGTGGCCCACGGTACACCACTGTTGCAAAAATTGCACTGGTTACTGGTTTGCTTCAAGGTCCAATTGAAGGTGTTGGTTACCACCTTTAAAGCCCTGGGTCCAGATTATTAGCTTGTTTGTAAAATTTATTAGTTGTCCATCTTCCCACATATAAATCCAGCCAACTTAAAATATTACAAAATAAAACTTTGTAATTTATAATATAAATACAATACTATAAAATCAATTTAGCCAAAAATGGGATTATGAGAGGGGGAGAAAGTAGGATCTGTCATTAATCAACTGTCCCCAACATAAAGCCTCCCCCATTGATCATTGGCAGTTCCCTCCCTCCCATCCAGGACATAGCACAGAAGCTTTGCTTGAACAGGGTCCGTAAGATTATCAGGGACATTACACATCCTCTTCACAACCTATTTTTCTTGTTACCTTCTGGGAGGTATCTGTAGCGGAACATCCAGATTTAGCCATAGTTTCATTCCATACAGAATTAACCTTGTGAACTCTTAAACTTCCTCCTTCTGTTATGTATTCAAGATGGACAGTATTTAATATGTATTTGATATGTATATGTATGGGGGTGGGTCTATACATAGGTTGTATATAGTATGTTTAGGTGTGTGTCATGTATGTGTTTCACTTTGAGAGCAGGCAACTAAATTTCATTTTTGATTTGTGCCATTGTGCCAACAGTAAAAAAAATGACAATAAAGGTTATCTTATCTATCTTATCATTGGCATCCCAATCCAACTGGCAGAGCCAAGTCTTTTAAGTTCTTATGGAAGGAGTGTTGGAGCTGAACTCACTTTTGTGCAGCCGGGGGGGGGGGGAATAAGATGTTCCAGAGGGCCAGGCACAATAGCAGAGAAGGCTTTTCTCCTGTACTTTTCCAATGGAGCTTACATCATGCCTCCTTTGGTGGCACATGTGGGGTGAGCCAATCCTAGTAGGATGAGAATTCTCTGAAGCAGCCCAGACTCATGCCATGAAGTTTTAATTGGTTACCTAAGAAAACTGTCTCAACCACCTGCACCGGCAGAAGAAACATGCTCCAGATCCCATCGGCCAAAGAATTCTAGATGGCAGGGTCCAGGAGAAGAGCCTTTTCTGCCATGGCTGCTGGCCTTTGGAATATCCTGCCTCCAGAGGTAAGATCTCCCCCCCCCCCCGCCACACACACACACCCTCTTGGCTTTCTAAAAGGGCCTGGAAACCTGGCTCTGCCAACTATATTCTCTTTTGTGATTTTTAAAGAATTCTTCTTTTTCTTTGCCCATACACCAATAATCTAGTTTATAGTCCAATCCAGCCGTCTGCTTGCTAGCAGGGAGAAAGAATTGAGGACGGGGAATCAAATCCTTTAGAATTTTTCTGCTGTTTTTCCATTAACTCCTTGATCAACTCACTTTTCCTGGGCTGAACTGGATCTCTGATCCTTGCCTCATTCCTCCCTTTTGAGCTCAACTTCCGGGTTGAGGACGGGAATGGCATTTTAGCAACCTGACACCTGCCAATTAAATTTGTCTCCCAGCCAATGAGAAAAGAGACGGAAGGGAAGACAAATGAGTTTCGCGGTTTTCTGCTCTCAAAGGATTGAGCGAGCGGCAGACAGAGCAGAAACTACGTTTCCTCCTTTCACTCGTTCCGGCCGGCGCGGGGAAAGCAAGCCACGCCTCTCCCTGCCTTTCCATTGCAAGGCGTTCCAGTAGAACAGTGTTTCCCAAAAGGCATGAGGACTTCAACTCCCAGAATTCCACAGCCAGAGTTGCTGGCTGTGGAATTCTGGGAGTTGAAGTCCACATGCCTTAAAATTGTCAAGTTTGGGAAACACTGCAGTAGAATGAGGATACTACGTGCTCCACCACCACCCCGGAGAAGTAAGAATGCCGTGTAGAAAACCTTCGCGCAAGCCTCCCATGCCTGAGCGGCGTGGAATGAGTTGTGTGGAGGTAGACATGGAGCGGTCCGAAAGAAGGTTCCAGCACCCCGGGAGGGGTGACGTCACCGAGGCAAGGGGAAATCCACTCTCCCTGAACGAATAGCTTTGAACTGAATTGAGAGGCTGTGTTGATGTTGGACGATCTTAAAAAGCTAAGAATGAGTAGAGCCTCTCAGACAATCGGAAGGCTAGACTGAGTAACTGGAAAGCGTTCGGCAACATTCACAAACAACAAACCATGCACAACCCAGAGACCCAGGTAGGAGACCATCATTTGTGTGTAGTTTTTCCTCTATACACCAAAACCTTTTTATTTATTATTCATTCCATTTCAGAAAATATCTCCTCTATCCCCAGTTGGTCCTAATCTCCTAAAATCCTCTCCTGAAACTCTGAGGGAAAAACGTAAGCAGGACATATAATTTTATTATTACTATTAATTACTGTGTTTGTCACCAAATGTGCACCACAAAGCAACCATTCCCCCCTCCCTCAAAAAAACAAAACAAAATAGGAAAGTCTTCATACCTGGATGCAAACAGATGCCCTGCAGGAAGCTTCCAACACTAACAGGGTTCAAAAATGGGAGCAGCCGCTTTTATGAAACACCCAATACGAAGAAGCTCCAATCCAAGAGCCCCGATTGCAGTCACCTCTCCAGTCATAGATACACAAAAGTCAATACTATAGGATCCATGCTGTACATTTTTATACAAATGTAAGCCGCGCCCACCACGGTACCCTATTGGTTACTGGGAAGTGCTATGATAGCTTTAGGCCAGCCCAAAATGCTTCCAATTGGCCTGTAACCATGGGGATGTGTCTGAGAGCTGCTGACTGATGTTATTGTCCTGCCGCAGGACAATCAAATTCTGATTGGTGCAAACAAAATTATTGGCAGCTGGAGCACATGGCTGCTTAGTACTACATCCAGAAATGATTCTGATTTGTCAGGGCCAGCGTGACTGCTATGTGACCAAAACAGCTTCAGTGCTTACATAGACCAGGAAGTAGAGGAAATAAAATCAAATTACTAAAACAAGCTAAGCATTTCGATGTCTTTTTCTTTTGTAATGCAAGGAATTTGGGGGGTTATCCCCTTCTTTTTTTTAAAGGCTGTTTACACAGAGCAGACGGCAATTGTATTTTACAATAAAAAGTGAAGAAAAAAGCCTTTTTTCAAAAGTACATTTAAGCAAGCTTCCCCCTCCCCCAGTTCTTCCGGTCTCATGTTAAAAGGCAGGAAAGAAATTAACCGAGTGGGGAATCTGACTGGGATGTCACACAAGCTCACAGTAAGTTAACAAATACATCTGCAGCCAACAAGGAGCTTAATAATAAAGGCTTATTGGGATGAGTGATGTGGGACGTAAACATAAAATAAGATGGCTGCTGTTGCGTCCTTCGTGAAATGGCAAGACACGAGAAGCAGTTGTAGTTCTCAGGAACTCTTTATTCTTTAGTTCAGCTTACAGTTAGAGAACGCCGACAACGCCCAAAACTCTCGGCCTCTTTTATAGGCCTTTCCCGGGTCAATCTGCAACTTTTGGCACGCCAGCACCTGCGCATGCGCACAAGTACTGGCGACAGCCTGTCTGGTCCCGGGCAGCTTGCACCTGCCCGGGACCGTTTGCAATGCCCCGAGCCTGCTTGCACAGGCTCAGGACATAACAGCTGCAATACTAATCTACATGAGAGGTCCAATCAGAGCATGCATGTTTCTGATATGAATGGCCGGAGAGGTCAGAAGAGACATGTCAGAGCCGTGGTATAGCACCTTATGTGCAAGCA